AACGAAAACTGCGCTCGCTGCAAGCTTCGGATTCTGTCATCTCAGTGCAAATGACATATTTAAACTGGCTTGCTGAATTATTACCAAAGAACTTTTAACCTTTCGTTAGTCCTAATAAGGTTCCTTACAATTGAATTTTCAAATTCTATTGTATTCATTTACTGGAATAGAAAAGCTTTCTGCGCGACACACAACAAACGAGCAAACGGCCACTTGAATTAACTGTAATAGTGAAGCCACCGCTATCCGTAATTCCACTCTTATAGATGCGTTGCTTGCATTTAATCCTTGGAGCACGACACACGCAGAAAGAGCTTATTTACCCTTCGTATGCGTATCTTTTGTGAAATACACTTCCACTTCCCATCCTTTCCGTGTAAGAAAAGGTATAAGGTATTTTTTTCAACATAGAGTACATAATGAAGCTGCAATGTAATGATACCTCTGACCCTACGTCCCTTAAGCCCTGTATCGCCATTAACTTAATGTCTACGATTTCTTTGGTCATTCGATCTGACGCTTATTGCTTCCCGTTGTTTGTATAATCTTCATCCTTATTAAGCAAAGGGAAGTTTTTATAGAAAAGGAAAGTCGTTACATTTATTTTGATTGAAATTGTTTTTGTTTACCTTTACCGAAATAGTCCTTGTAATGATATATTCGATTTATTTACGATCAAATCAAATAATATACACAAAAACAATAAATATACATAACTTAAGCTTCATAAATCAACTTTTTGACTATTTTAAAATGTAATATATCAATGTTCTACAATCTTATCTTTTCGATGTTTTATAAACGGGCACAAAAATAAATTACATATACGTTTTAAGTAGAGGGATGATAGTTGGCAAACTCGAGGATATCCGCACAGACCATTAGACCCCGAGGTGTTCACGAGAGCGAACACAAAGTTACAAACAACCTTCGGAAAACAAGTTATTGGCCGTTTTAACTTTGAGACCGCGCAGGAAACTCCGGTCTCCGGGTACGATCGTAGGCACCACCGCACTTCCGCTACGAACTATCTACTCGTACGTTGCTTATATTTAGTACATTCCATTATGTAACTAACAACAATTTTTTCTTTATAAAAATAGGTTATCATTTAAATTGTTTAAACTATCGTGAGACATTACTTCAAGCGAAAATTAATTAAAAACGGCTCAACTCACGCTTTGTTCCTCCGGTGACGGCACCGACTAGTTTCGGATCCTTCGGGGATCCTTCTTCAGGGCGAGTATTATTTAACTTTTGTTCGCGGTCGCGTCGCGCCTCGCACTGCGGGCCAGGGCGCGGAGGGCGCGGTTTGAGGGTGCGGGGGGCGCCAAGACCGTCGACCAAAATTTTAATAACAACAATAGCGACACTTCAACATTTTTGAACCCGTCGACATCTCCGTCGCCGAAGCACGAAGCGGCCACAACGGTCTTGGCGCCCCCCGCCCCCTCGAACCGCGCCCTCCGCGCCCTGACCCGCAGTGCGAGGCGCGACGCGACCGCGAACAAAAGTTAAATAATACTCGCCCTGAAGAAGGATCCCCGAAGGATCCGAAACTAGTCGGTGCCGTCAACGGAGGAACAAAGCGTGAGTTGAGCCGTTTTTAATTAATTTTCGCTTGAGGTTATCATTTATTTTATTATGCATGTGACACCAAACAGCATATTCAAAGAACAATACAAAGTATAGTATTTTTTCTTACGATAGCCGAGACGCAACTAACGCATTTTTTTTTTTCAAAATTTACGCATTCTTACAAAATTTAAAATACACTATTGTAATAAAAAGATATATAAATACGCATGAAGACGTTAGGGTGTGTAGTAATAAAGACTTTAATGTAAATAATTAATTTGATTTCGCAGCAAATGGAACTGCAGTTCACCCGAAATAACTAAAGTCCAATTAAGCCTGCAATTATCACATGACTCGTCCAGCGCCGGGGGACGAAGATAGTATTGACTATTCTTTTATTTCTGCGAAAGCAATTATAGCGCAAGCCGGTTGGGACACAAGATGATTAACGTGAATCGTTGAGCGGATTAAGCTTATTTAAATTAAAACCGCTCTGCTTCATCAGAAACTGTGTACAACTGTAATAATCCACTATTACACGAACGGTTCATTTATTTGTACAATTTTCAACTTTTAAACAGATTAAATTTCAAGATTTCTATTTAGAAACGTGTTTTTTTCATCGTAGACTTAAATAATAAAAATGTACATTGCGAGAGCATAGTTTTTTATTTAATTTTATTTCCATAACGAGAGTGGAAATACGGAAATTGGAACAAGGAAATGCATCAGTTTTCATAATGGCGTTCGTGTTTAATATGAAAATTTCCATTGCTCTATTATATAAACATTATATAAATAAGTCAGCTTTTCGTTATAAAAGACTTTCACGTCTGCATTTTACTGGCGCGAGCAGGTTTCTTAAGGTTTAAATTTCAATTTCAGAAATACACGCCAATTGTTATTTAAACGCGTATTACAAAGATAAAGTACTTTTAGTTAAATTGTGAGTAAAGCAATGTTTTTAGGGTTTTTAATTTGAAAGTCTTGACTTTCTTTTGGTTCTGAACATACTTCATACTATAATACTAATCATACTTCATATTAACATTATAAATGTGAAAGTTTAGATGGATGGATGGATGGATGGATGTTTGTTAGAGTTTGTAACCTAAACTGCTGAACGAATCTCAATGAAATTTGGCATAGATGTAGAGGATAGCCTGGAAGAACATATAGGGTACTTGATTTTGTTTTTTTTTAATACCACGCGGATGGAGTCGCGGGCGAAAGCTTTTAAATTATATCAGTGTCACAAAATTCTTGAATTCACCACTAGTACTTAAGATTCGCGTTGCTCTCTTTGAGAATTCATGCAGCGAATTTAAAACAAAGATAAGAACTTGAAACTGTAATAAGAGAAACTGAGATAAACAATTTTAGCTAATTTCGTCTTCGTTATAACGACTTCTGTCGAAGTTTGTTCTCAATAGCGAGTCTATTTATTTTAAATGTCCAAAGTAAACTTAACTACCTACAGTTACTTGGACTTCTCACACAGATGAATTTTGCAATTGTTATTATAGACATGGCCGGCGTTAGAGTAGGGCGCGGTTGGGAGACTGGTCAGGACGCTGGACAGAAAGAGTTGTAAATCATACTGTCTGACGTTACTCAGTTTACAAAAAAAGTGCTAAAAAGGAAGCGTCATAAAAATCTCTCCGAGTGCTAGTAAAGCTAAAATCGTAAAACTTAATGTTAATAAATACTATTATCTCTCTTTGATGCAAATAGAATGAAAGGGATGTAAATATTTTAAACGCGTATTAAGACAGTGGTAACCAACAGTAATCAAATCTGAAATTTCAGTTTGTACAGCGAGATACATGAATTTCTTTCAATCATTTCATTAAGTTATATTAAGTGGTGACGGTCGCAATCTTATCGTCTCGCAAGTCTCGTTAACTTTCTATTCATACAGTTCTAATCGAAGAGAAGCTCTTTCTATAAATATATCTTCCTTATAAATTCTCTTTTGATACTATATATTTGAGAGAAATTTACTTAAGCTAATAATAGAAATAAAAATCTATGAATTGGTCACGCTGTTTAGGTATGCGGTTACAATAGTAAATGAATCTACGTAAAACGTTATCTATCAGGCATAAAATAACTAATTTTGTTAAAGATTTCACCATAAAAGTCGACCAACATCGTCATCACACGGTAATTGTATAAACCTTCAACGTAATACAATTACCTATCCAAGTTGACGCGGTCCTCAATATTTGTGCTCGTGGAAGGTTACGGTAAAAATTATCACGACCTTTCCTTGATCAATATGAAATTACTTTCGACATACACACGCTGGTCCGCTCACAAGGAACAAATCGTATTATAGAAAGGTCAACTTTTGACATTCACATAAAATGCTTTCGCAATGAAATGTTACCTATTATTACTATTCGAATATAATTTAATCTCGATAATACGTGGACCTTGTCTTTATACAAAGCTAATGTTGGTAAATAAGAGTAAGTTGTGGACTTTTCTGTTCATATTAGTCTCATTGTCTGATAAACAGCGATCACTTTGCTTGGCAAAATGTTTGTCGTCAGAAAAAAGGATTTTTCAAATAACATGCTTTATTTAACATAGTACATTGTTGGATGAAAATTCAGATAAGAAATATAACATATTCATATGGAACATAAACATATAAAGCTACTGGTGAAAATGTGCCAGTATTTTTACGTTTACCAAACCTTATTTATTTTTCTTCGCGCGTATACCAGAACTGTGAGCCAAATCCGACAGACTTGGCCGTCGTCTCGTAAACCTGATAAAAAGGATTGTAATGCAGGTTTTCTTACCTACGAAATTATTATTTTGTGACTGAATTTCGTCGTGTATATCTCATGTTATTTATTGTAATTGAAACTTTGACGAAGAAAATAATTTTGGTAGAATTAAACCCTATGGTATAATAATATTAAACAGTAATGTGAATAGTAAGGTAACATAAGGATAATACATACCTTATTCTTACTTTATTGTACGAAGTACAAGTAATATTTATCGCAACAATTAGGTTATTTTTCACAACCTGAAGATCCTTAAATCGTTTTGTAACGATGTTTATTACCTATTGAAACAAATATATTATACTTCGCTACGTGCACAGAGAAAAGATTTTATAAATGGTTACCATTGTCTATAGACTACAGCAGTCTCTTTCAGAACGGCACTGTATTTAGCGAGGCGTAATGCTAGTCGACTAGTTCTCAGTTCTTGCGGTCTTTATTCCGTCTGACGTAATTTCGCGCCATGCACACGTACTTATTACATTTTCTCTTTCAATTCAACGTTCTCCAACAATTCCTTTCTATTGAAAGCGAAGGATTATTTGCATCTTTTGCAGTTTATATTAATTTATGTACTTAAAATTTAAAAAGTTGCATTTATGTTTTCACTTGTTTTAGGTGACACGGATGAACATGGCCTGCCGAAAGACAAGGACAAAGGATATGACACCAACCTCTATCTTTATCATGTAAGTGCATTAACTATATATTTATTATATTATTTAGAATCAAACTTTGTACATTTTTTGTTACTTATCAATCTGAGTACAATTTTAATTTGTTTAAATTCGCAAAAAATCTTAAAAACGGTTACTACAGTTTTGTATTTTTATAAATAACACTTTAAAAGTAATCGACACAAATAAAATTACACAATTCAAACATACATTGTAATAAACTTTATACAGAAACAATAAAAAAGCCATTACCTAAATACGGAAAAGTGTTGGCTTGCGGATGAGGAAGAAACTTCTCGTCGTTGTCTTTTGTTTGTCGTACAATGTGTCGCGAAATGATCTCACAAGCGACAACTGTTATATTTGCGCTTGTGTGCGGCAAAAAATGCCCTGACAACGTCACATAGCGTTTGTAATGCTACTGTTAAATTAAACATGACACAAACGGTGTGTTATTAAATATTTGTACAAAGTATAGTGTTTAATGAATATTGTAAAATAATCGGCTGTAAGTCGTCCATCTTACTTATTACTCTTTACCAATATTATAAAACTTAAAATTTCTTACTAATATTATAAATGCAAAAGTTTAAATGAACGGATGGATGTTTGTTCGAGTTTATAGCCTAAACGGCTAAACGGATTTAGATTAAATTTGGTACAGATGTAGAGGATAGTCTGAAAAAACACATAGGCTACTCACTTTTCTTTAATTCCACGTGGACCGGCTCGCGGGCGAAAGCTAGTGTATTATAAACGCGAAAGTTTAGATGGATGGATGGATGTTTGATAGAGTTTGTCGCCTAAAACATAGTCTGGAGTAACAGACTTACTTTTCTATTTTTTATTATTCCACGGGGTCGGAGTCGCGTGTGAAATCTAGTATGTTGAATAAATAATAAAATTATGCGAAAGCTTACTATTGAACCATTAGCTTAATGTAGTGAAAAATTTACGATTTCGTATAATAGAGAAGTCTACGTACAACAAAGATTAATAAATTACGCTACAGCGATATCTATAAATATAATAGTTGCGTATTTTAGACGAACATTCGGGCTAATTTATTTAGATAAATGTTGGCCAAAACAACAATCATGAATACTTTGCGTCAACTCATAGCAAAGTTTTGTAATACTTCGACGTTACACGACACATAACTAATGCAATGTGAAGTCTCACCCCCTCCCCCCACCTTCTACTTCTCCCTTACGTCATACTCGAACGTTAACTTCAGTCTGGATTGAGTTACACTTAATATTGTTTACTTTGTACAACGGAACGTCGTAACTCTCAAGAATTACGAGGCAACTTATTTATAGAGTCATTTCTCAGAGAGTTTTAGAAGGCAAATTTCTTGGACGGCGTAAATAACCTCAAAAATATTGAAGCAAATTTAGACAAACATATAGCGGCTCCAGCGTATTATTCAACAATGGAAGACGCCAACAACAACAACTCCTGTTGCAAAAATTTGACCATACAAAAGATTTACTTTCTACTTCGCTATTTCGGCGAATACTTTGCTTTTGTAATACAAAAATATAGGATTTTGCATACATAATACAATGCTCAGAAAATAATTAATAAATTTAATGAAGAACCATTCACTTTCCTCGTTCATACTTTCAATAAAAGTAAAGAGTCTTCAAAATTCATCAATAACAAAGCGAACAACAGCTCTCATTGGTTACAATTCAAGAAGTTTTTGTGAGAAGGGCAATATAAGGATGTTTGTGTAAAGTATCATTCAAAAGAAACGAAACAATTCGCCCAGCTCATTGAATTTCAACTGAAGTGGAAAGCACACAAGCTTTCGATGATTCGTAGCGATCTCGTAGCACCGTAGCAACGTAGTTGTCTAGTAGAGCATTTCAATTTTTTTTATTCCGTCGTATATATTAAACATTCTTTATCATAATATTTGATTTATTTTCTACAAGAAATACCATCAACATTATTACTAATCGAAATGATCCAAGAAAACGCCGTAAAAGGCATTTTTTCTTACCATAAAACATTATTTAGGTTAAGAAAGGATGAAATAAAAACAAAACGAGATTAAAGTTAGGATAACACGTAAATTCAGGTTATGGCTGCCAAAATACGGCCGTGTACTGTAATAAGAATTGAAATTTACATGAAAGCAAGCTTACGCCTCGGTTATAAATATAAAAGCTCTTAATAAAAGTACCCACGTTTAAGTAAATGGGGACTTGCGGGCTACGAGACTGCCGCAGTTTGTGATGACGATATGCGTACTCAACACCATCAACATGTATTATGTTTTCATACGAACATATTTATTCCCAGTTATTATTATTATAAAATATCCCTATGCATATGATTTTATTTAATACTGTTTTTATAAATTTCTGACGAAGTAATTTTTCCTAATTGTCTTAAATTTCCCAGAATTTTATTACCTTATTTTTTCATCTACCCGCCCGTGCGGGAGAATATAAATAAGCCCGGTTACCCTCAGTAACTCGGGGCGCGAAATTTAAATCATGTTCGTATGAACGCATATGGTCTGTACCGAACAGTTTAAACAAAGCGACTTATGTACTGCGTTTTCAACATCGTGTACTTATATGTCATCACTACTTATATGCATTCATTATCTCACTTTGTTATATGTGGCCGTTTTATATAAGTAACGTATATCGCATAATAGAAAGAAAGAGATGGATGGATTGTGTAAAAGGTGACATGATCAAAAAGGGAGTGATGACTGAGATGACGTATGATAGAGTTATGTGGAGGACAAAAACCTGTTGCGCCGACCCTACGGGAGTAGGATAAGGAGATGATGATGAAGATGATGATGATGTATATCGCATAATATTTACTATGCCAGCAATTTATATAAGTTATTCCAAAAAATATATCCTTACCTTAGGGAAGTTACGTTCTTTTTTTTCCTCTGATAACACAGTTCTATAATAAATTTCAATAAACTTACAACAAAAGCAACAATATAGAGTAAGCATAGTTGACATTTCACTTGAAACATTTTTACGCTATCTCACAAGCGCTGCTTGATGCCTAATAGTCACAAACAAACAAATAATTCAAGCACTGAGAAGTGTCTCGGCGTATCAAATATGACATTTAGATATTACCGTACAAAGATGTTACCGATGAAAAATGTTCCCTATGTCTACTCTATATATTTCTTAAATGTCTTTGACTAAAACAAAAGCTCCTAAATTGTTATTTCGTTTACAGTAAAATCTGTCAATACGCCAGAAGCCGTAAAATTACTTTACAAAATGACAAGTTTATACAAAAACCAGATCTAAATCGCTCTAGCGTCTTATATCCGGCGGATATTAGTCTGGTGACAGCCTTGATCGATTGTCTGAGTTGAGTACTCTACAACTGAGGCCGCTCTCTACAGCGCTCGCGGCGACACTACCAAAAGGAAAAACACGAAGCTTCTTTTCAATCTACGTAGGTCAAGCGCACTTCTACTCGTTCTTTATAAGTACTGTGTGTAAATTAATTTAAGTGAAATTTATAAACACGCATCTAACCGATCGTATTCGATAATGATCTTGAAAATATTAACATCAAGAGCTGGAAACAAAAAATCTAACATATACTTTTATCGGTAATTTTCTTTACACTTAACAAGTTCCGTTCGCAGTTGTAAGGTCTTAAAAGATAATTCGAATAAAAAAAAATGCTACAATATTTCACTTCAATTGAGATTATTAATCAAATGTAATCTCTCGTTTCATCAATCTAGTCTTCGTGTAGCCGTCTAACAAATTCACCAAGAGTTACTTTGTTACTGCTATAGCTCGAACCGATGATAGCTCCCTAGGCGCCTACAGCGAGCTCGCAGCAAATGATGCAAATGGCGCGTGAATAAAATAAGAGCTTGCGACGCGGCAGGCGCCTTCAGTCCCGAGTTGCCGAGCACATTGCATTAGATGAAGCGAGCCAGTAAAGTCAATATTCAATTTAAATTGTATTTCGTCGTAAAATTGCATTCCACCATTTCAAGTTTATCTTCTGACCTATAAATTGTACTCAAACAAAAAATAGACAAATTTACAGAATGTATTTATTTATAGTATAGTACAATGACTGGTTATTATCATACCATAATTGGTTTAGATGATTTCTCCAATCTTACTTCTTACTGTTAAGAAGAAATCAGTACAGTGCCGGAGTAGCGACGCCACACTAGATCATTGGCGTATACGTCCCATCCCTATAACATCTGTCAATATCAATCAGAAGTATTAAGAATAAGCGCGCAATTCCTGGCGGGAAACGGTAGGCTGAGTATCGAAGTAGATTTACGTTATTATGATTAAATTATTATTTAAAATCACTAATATTTTAATAGTAGTAAATAGTTTACATGGATAGTTGTTAGAAGGTGTCTTCAAAGCGTCGTACGGATTTGAAATAGTGTGGAAAGAACAAATTAAGTTTTTTTTTAACTTCGCGCGAAATGAGTCGCAGTCGACAGCTAGTTTTATATAGTTTTAGTTCCGTGCCTTTAATTAAGCCAGCAGACTACGAATTAATAACTTTTACTACTGATTAAAACAGTATGAAAATTTCGTTTTTCATTAAACCCAAGTGTAAGGATTTTTCAAGTGTCTCAGCATGTAAAACGGTAAAATAACGTCAGTAATCAGATAAAGTGTTTGAAAATGTAAATGGATAACTTTTGTTGTATTTTCTGCATTCATATTCCTCGTCTCTGTGTTAAATTATTCTACCCTTCAATTCAGCTTTATTATGCCGTACACCCTTCTCTGATATACATTTACATAATTGTAACGTTCACGTTCACTGAAACATTGACGTTCCACACAAGCAAGCTCCGGACAGAATAACAATGCAGTGAATCTAATTTATTACAACCTTTGTTATAATCTTTTCAAATATAATTCTTTATGTTCTCGCCTCATGTTCCCTACTTTGTTCGTTAAAAATTAACAACGTTTTGGAATTCTAGTACGAAAATATTACTCGAACGTTATATATGTATATTTTGTCCTGCATTCAAATACAAACATAACCACAACCTTAACGTCAAACATCAAATACTTCCCAAGCAAAGAAATATTATACATCCAACTCACAAATCAAAAACTACACGACATTTGTCAAAGAGGTTAAAAGGTCCTAGTTTCTAAAAATCTTAATGTGTTATTAACTACTAAAGTGTTATCTCAACATAATTAAATAATGTTTACAGGAGGAGATGGAAGATCGGCCCCGCGCGGCCACATTCCTCAGCTCTCTGGCAGACTACTCCAATACAATCCCGACGGCGTCGACTGCGGACCCCGACGCCGCGAAGCCTGCGCCGCCGGCACGCATGGGCACCCTCATCGGCGTCTACCTGCCCTGCATACAGAACATCTTCGGCGTCATCCTCTTCATCCGTCTCACCTGGGTGGTCGGCACCGCCGGCGCTATACAAGGCTTCTTAATTGTACTTACTTGCTGTTGTACGGTAAGTGAAAGCTCCGCAACCACATTATCAGATTTTAATTATAAGAAAGAGTTTTTAGATACAATTCTCATCATCTTTTCATTAGTCACAAGAATAGCACGAAGTGATAAACTATTTAATATTGCAATTATATTGTAGACGATGTTGACGGCGATATCGATGTCTGCGATCGCGACGAATGGTGTGGTGCCGGCAGGCGGATCTTACTTCATGATCGGGCGCTCGCTGGGCCCTGAATGTGGTGGCGCGGTCGGCATGCTATTCTATACGGGCACCACGCTCGCCGCCGCCATGTATATCGTTGGCGCCGTCGAGATAGTACTGGTAAATACACGTTCCCATTAGTAATGTCTCCTATGTTTTATTTTTTAGCTAATATACCACATATGTGTTTGTTCATCACGGTATAGAACTTTATGGTCTCCGTCCGTTGCTGTCTACCATACTCAATATTCCCTGTATTTATGTGTCTAACGATACAGACAAGTACTAAATAAAAGACAGTTTTAAAGTCACAGAATCAACTTTTTAGTGAAAACAAATATGAAAATTTTTGTATGAGTTTTTTGAACTTCATTTGATATTCATTTATTCAAAAATCTAATTCCAATTTTTACACAAAAAGTTATTTCAAAAGGTATCCACGAATAGCATTCGTATAACTTTTCTATCTGTAATTCTAAAAACAATCGGAATTCAATTAATGTTGGAGTGTGAGCGGATGAGAGGCCCGCGTGGCCGGAATATGATTTCCGCAAACTTTCCTCTCACCGCCGTACCGACTGCCCACTTCCACTGTCGTTACAGGATATCGTTAACTTTGCACGTGGAATGTTCCACTAAACATGTATAACTTTTGATAACGTTTGTATAACATTTCCGCATCTAGAATTTAAGTTGATTAAAATATATTTACGAACTACATTTCTATATTAAAACAAGCTTTTTTATTTGTACCTCCAACCTTTTCATGAACAGACATACATGGCCCCGTGGATGTCAATCTTTGGAGATTTTACAAAGGACCCCGACGCAATGTACAACAACTTCCGCGTGTATGGAACAGGACTCTTGCTTATAATGGGCATGGTGGTGTTCGTCGGTGTGAAATTCGTCAATAAATTCGCAACTATCGCCCTCGCCTGTGTCATTCTCTCTATCAGTGCTGTCTACGCTGGAATCTTCGTTAATTTCAACGGAAACACTAAACTTCAGTAAGATCGTTTTACGCAATTATATACATAGTTCTATTTTGATTCTTTGTATTACATTCTTTTGTCATTTTTTCTAGAATGTGCGTTCTCGGAAAACGTTTACTTAAGGATATAAACATAGATAACTGCACAAAGGATGTCGGTGGCGAACTCCATCAATTGTTCTGCCCTAATAACTTGTGCGACCCTTACTATGCGGCTCATAATGTTAACATTGTACAAGGAATTAAGGTAAAGATAGCTAATCTATTTATGAACTCTCTTATTTATCTAGTTTGTCTGTATCTTCCGACATCCTAAAGCTACACCCACCTACACCCATACCATATATACAGTCGTTTATTAGAAAACTATCCTCTATGTACAAATTTACTGATGCTTTCCCAATTTATTGACTTTAAGAATTTTTATTTTTTATTTCAAATTGTAGGGTTTGGCTAGTGGAGTTTTCTTTGACAATCTTCAAGATTCATTCCTGCAACTTGGACAGTATATCGCTTACGGCAAGGAACCCGACGACATTGAACAAATGGAGAGACCTACTTATAATCAAGTGTATGCCGACTTGACGACTACTTTTACCATTTTAATAGGCATATTCTTCCCATCGGTTACTGGTACGAATTGTTTGATCAAACAGTTTTCGCTTAAAAGTACAAGGACACTTTTTACGTTAAAACTAATTACGCAGGTATTATGGCGGGATCGAATCGTTCCGGTGATTTGGCTGACGCTCAAAAAAGTATCCCGATTGGAACCATTTGTGCGATTTTAACAACTTCGACGGTCTATCTATCTTGTGTCTTGCTCTTCGCGGGGACTGTTGACAACCTATTGCTTCGTGACAAGTAAGATCTTTAGAAAATTGTGTGTTTTCATATTCACATCGGTTTCCATTCCTTATTCAATCGGTAATATTTCAGATTCGGTCAATCTATCGGAGGTAAACTGGTAGTGGCGAACATGGCTTGGCCAAATCAATGGGTGATATTAGTAGGCTCATTCCTCTCGACTCTTGGAGCTGGTCTGCAATCATTAACTGGAGCTCCTCGTTTACTGCAAGCAATTGCTAAAGATGAAATTATACCGTTCTTAGCACCTTTTGCTGTTTCTTCTAGTAGAGGTGAACCTACACGGTAAGAAAATCTAAATATAATAATCCACTTCAACGTTTAAATGCTCCTACTACATTTTTTCTTTTCACAGGGCCCTGCTCCTGACAATGTTGATCTGCCAGTGTGGCATTCTGCTTGGCAACGTCGATATCCTCGCACCACTGCTGTCTATGTTCTTTTTGATGTGCTACGGTTTCGTTAATTTGGCTTGCGCTCTACAAACTCTTTTAAAGACACCCAATTGGCGCCCGAGATTTAAGTATTACCACTGGTAAGACTTAATAACTTATATTTTTTTACTATGATTATCAAAATCACTAATAATTTTTAATATTCTAAAATCTTCCAGGTCTCTGTCACTCGCTGGTTTGACCTTATGCATTTCAATTATGTTTATGACATCGTGGTTCTACGCTTTGATTGCCATGGGTATGGCTGGACTTATCTATAAGTACATTGAATATCGTGGGTAAGTATTCACAGTAAGTCAACTCAATACTTGTATTTTTTTTTCAAAAATCATCAAAAATACATTTTATAATTTATTTTAGAGCGGAAAAGGAATGGGGCGATGGTTTACGCGGTCTTGCACTTTCGGCTGCACGTTACTCTCTGTTACGTCTAGAAGAAGGTCCTCCACACACTAAGAATTGGCGGCCACAAGTTTTGGTCCTTGCGAAACTTAACGATGATTTGAATCCAAAATACCGTAAAATGTTAGCATTTGCGAGTCAACTTAAAGCAGGTAATGACGTCAGATTTTAATTCAATTTGATTTTTCTCTTCAAAATCTGCAAGATCCAATTTTTGGTATGAATTCATAATGACATTGAACTTCTTAATCCAGGCAAAGGATTGACAGTTTGCGTCTCTGTGCTCGGTGGTGACTTCCCCCGACGTTCTGGAGAATCGCTGACAGCCAGACAAAATCTCCGGAAAGCCATGGATGCAGAAAAAGTTAAAGGCTTCGTAGATGTTCTTGTATCACATAATATCGCTGATGGACTTAGTCACTTGTAAGCTATTTGTGTATTTAAAAAACATTTAAACTGGAAAATACTCCAATAGAGGTTTTAAACTTGTTAAGTTCCAGAAACATTTTGTGTTATAATTTATTTAGCTTGAATCTAAAAATTTAACTAAGCAATTTTTGACATGTCTTTATTGTTAACAGTGTCCAGACAAGTGGGTTGGGAGGGCTCAAGCCAAACACTGTAATACTTGGTTGGCCTTATGGTTGGAGGCAATCTGAAGACAAACGAACCTGGGAAGTATTTCTAGATACCGTGCGCGCTGTCACCGCTGCTCGAATGGTCATGCTTGTACCGAAAGGAATCAACTTCTTCCCTGATAGCACTGAAAAGGTCAGTTTGAACAGTTACTTTACTGCCCCGGCTAAGATCATAGATTTTAAAATAGCCTTCTTTCGCAGGTTGCTGGGAACATTGATATTTGGTGGATAGTTCACGACGGCGGTATGTTGATGTTGTTGCCGTTCCTGCTGAAGCAGCACCGCACCTGGAAGAATTGTAAGATGCGCATATTCACTGTTGCGCTGATGGAAGACAACTCTATACAAATGAAGAAAGATCTCAAGATGTTCCTCTATCAACTTCGTCTTGAAGCTGAAGTAGAAGTAGTTGAAATGGTATTCAAAATATTTAACTTTTAAGAACATACAAATATTAAGATGTAATTTATATGAAGTAAAGGAAACCACTCGGATTTTTTGAAATGAAAAAATACTGTGATCTTTTAAGTCTTTTACTTGGAGATCTGCACTTGAATGTAGATGCTTTAATAATGTTGATTATTTTACAGACTGATAGTGACATCTCTGCTTACACCTATGAACGAACTTTGATGATGGAACAACGCAACCAAATGCTGCGCGAACTTAGACTGAACAAAAAAGAAACACTTGGGATGGTAAATATTACGACCAATGAATTACTTACATCACATGTGCAAATATCACTAAAGTGTTGTGTGTTTCTAAGAAAAGTGTGTGCGCTGTAAAAGCTAATTTGTTTTGTCAAATCTCGTGGCTTAATATATTTGTACCGTTGTTGTTATAATAACTAACATTATGTTTGTCTGTCGTTGCCAACACAGATGCAAAATTTGGTGGACTATCACGAACCAAACGCCGAAGAGAAGTTGCCTCTGGTAAAAAGGATACTTTACCCTCGATCAAGTCCACTTAAATGCATTTTAGCTATAATCGGTGTTGCCATTTAGTTCCTTCATTTTACTTCAATTTATTTCCCAAATACTTCAAGTTTTAATAAATTATCTGGGTGTTAGTTATTCTCTCTAAGTGTTCTTTGCATTATTCATGGCTTTCGGTTAACTAACGAGGTGTCCTTTGGTGTTCTAACAAACTGTTGTGTGCGTATGGCTTTTTTCTATCATTCTATTAATGCATCTCGTTATAATTTTCATAAGCATTTTATCTTCAATGCGTGGTATGAAAGCAACTACTTTGCTTGCTTTAGGTGTTTTACACTTCTATATTTTATATTATCTTTAAAACACGTGGTACTGCTTACAATCATTAATTCTCCATCTTAATCTGCACAATATTTTTCCACAAATTTTCACACCTTAATTAAACTAACAATTAATAAAAATATCTACTATTTTTAAAACATTTTTTTAAATTTCAGCGGCCAGTGGCAAATTTATGTTGTAACAGCACCACGTAGAAAGTGGCACATTTATGTTTTGTTCGTGTGACTTGAGAACAATCGATGTATTTATTTTGATAATTTTCTAACCCTAGCAAGTGATGCTATACAATATTTATAGCAACATTTTCAAGGGTTTGTTGTCGATTGGCTTTTTTATCAATGTTTCGTTGTTTTTACAAAATTTGTAATGTTTTCTTTCTGTTTTATCCAAGTTGTTCTTTTTTATTTGAAGAAAATAGGTATCAATTACTTGAGAACAAAGCTCATTTTACCTTTAAACTATAGGTGCAAGCGATTGTTGACCATCACCACGCCGACGTGAAGACAGCTAGCAAGGTTCGATTCGCGGAACCGGGAACTGGTGAGCCTGGCCCTGAAGATGCACCTTCGCCACCATTGACCGACAGCGATGAAAAGGACAAGGATGATAAGGTGATAATCAACTATAAACATTTTATTAGCATGATACTAAAGCAAATGAAATATACGACTATGTTATTCTTAGAGAACCGAATCAAAGCAAGCTTTTAAGGCATAATAAAAAAACATAACTAATATATTAAAATTTCCATGTAACAACAATTGCTATTCTAATGTAACATTTGTATAAAAAAACAAATACAAATACTTGTCTGAGTGTTTTTGATTTTGTTGTTTTTGAGTGTAAACATCCATGTCTCTTCTTAAGATGAGCTAAACCAATAGTACCGTCATATTTTAATTTGAAATGCTACCAATTTAATGTTAATGCTATTATCTCATTTCAATTTATGTTTAATATTCATTGTTTTATTGCTACTACACGTGTAATAAGCCATTTTCACAATAGTTTCTTTTACCATTAGTTACCGATTAAAGTTTCTACTCCATTAATTTATTTTCGTGACTATTGCGGAAATGTCTGTATATTTTAAGGAGCTAAATGCACTGTCATGGTCATATTTTATTTGTTATAATTTAATTTATCTGTCATCGTAAGTAATCGTAATGAGTCCTTGCGAATTTACACACGGTGGTCATATGTTTGCCAATGTTCATTCACTTTGATTTGTTCACATTAGTTCATTTCGGTAGTCACATTAGATAAGAGATTGGATGTTTGAATGTCCGTAGTCGATGGGTTAACAATCAAAGTAATATATGACATCCCGTGTTTCATTCGCCTTGAATCCGTCATGTGCAACGTCTCGACACGATACCAAAAATGAATTGAAATCGAACGACAATGAACAAAACTATTGGCCAAACGTAGGACGAATTCAGAAGTAGTTTGTTGCACATAATCGATTCAATGTGGGACTCGCCCGATGAACAGTCGCAGTGCGAGGGCGCACCGTCCCCGCCGCTCGATGCCGACAGGAACAAGGAAGCTGGCGCCAACGGGGACGTCCTCAACTCCAAACCTAACCTCCCCAACATCACGCCGTAAGTCTTCTTATTTGTTAATACATAAAACAAAATATTTGGATATTAATATTAAAAATGTGCTAATTGTGCAATATTCGTAATACCAAAACATATTTAAGGATTTAGCCTTTCGTAACTTTCCTCTATATATAATTTTATTTATTTTACATAAAGAGAAAACAGTGTTCGATTTGAAGAGTAATATTCTATTTTCAGGAGGTTTTCTGAGTGATGCTTTTATATTTTTTTTTAATTAATAATCTGTTGTCTATGGTAGTGACGAGGGTACAGTGAGGAAGATGCACACGGCAGTGAAGCTGAACGAAGTGATCGTGTCGCGGTCTCACGACGCACAACTAGTGATACTCAACTTGCCCGGCCCGCCGCGAGACACTGAGCTAGAAATGGAATCCAACTGTAATTATTTGTTTTCTGGAAACTAATCTCTTATAAAAAAGGCCGTCAATTGCTTAACAATTTCACTTGATAGCCAAACTACTTGTATTTTGGACTTTTAGTATGAATATGTAAATGCATTTACATATTTCATGTTAAAGTATATATATGTGTATGTGGAAATAATATTATAATAATTCTTAGGTACTATCAAATAATCCGACTCTGAACTTTTCCTATTATTGATAGGATACTTCCTTAAAGAGTCGTTCTGTCGTTTCCAGACATGGAATTCCTGGAAGTGCTGACGGAGGGGCTGGAGAAAGTGCTGATGGTGCGCGGTGGCGGCCGCGAGGTCATCACCATCTACTCGTGAACGCGACGCGCAACCCAACACACAAATTATGGCAATACTAAATTAATCTTAATCGATACAAATCGAACGAAGTATCGATTACGCAAATACGCGTCTCTACTATAATGTCTTTTTGTGATTGTTCAAAATTAGCAACATTTATGTTATTAGAGCATTGCTCTTGAAAGACTATAGGAAATTAAGTTCTTATATTTGTTTTAGACCATTGTATTTATGACTTGTTTCTTTACAAGATCAAATGACGTAAGTTTGATTCTTAAGTGTTAGATTAGATCTAAATTTTGTTGAATTTGGAGCTTAGTATGGTAATTTTTAAAATTTATTCAATGTTGATTATGTATGAGTACTTCGTATGAATCTGATGAGGAGCCTTACCTAGACGTTAGCTCTACTTTCGTTTGTTACATAGTGTAGCTAAGTACACTCGGTAGTCACTTTGTTACGGTACGTGTCATATCGTTTTTAATTTTATGGTTGTTACAAACATATTTACTTCTAAATAAATTGACTTTACTTTTATTTTCTATGCATATTAAAAAAAAACGTAGTCACTTTGTAATCGTATACAAGACCGTAAACAATTTTATCTATATGTGAAATGTATTTTGTAAATAGATATTCTGTTCTAAGATTTTACATCTGCTCAACTTAAAACTTACCATGGGACTGAAGAATCAAATTTATATATTTAATTCCTTATATTCTGGTAAATGTAGAGATGAATAAATTAAACGTAATATCTAGTCACTTGCTGCAGTTGCTGTGCAGACGGAGATAGCTGAATCAATTACAATTGGTCCTTTTTAATCTTTATCAGAATAATAATGGATTCGACTTCATTTAAAATAATCGTGGTTACCTCATGTGATCACACCATGGTTTTATGATGAGTAGATTCAAATTTATCTACTGCATTTGGGACATTGAAATTTTTTCTGCAAGGTAGATATTACTATCTGTTATTTAGGATATCTATCGAGTTAGATAAATCTTGTGGCAACATACCGTTAGTGTCTAAACTTGTAAACTTATTACGCACATTCGCGTAGATAGATGATTTCTTACTGTGATGCTTTATATTTAACGTTATGGTCATCAGAACTTTTACTATATTTTAACTGTTGGAGTAAAGTTAGGTGCGAGTGGTGTGATTTTATTAGTGCGACTTTGTAGCGTCATTTCCTAAGTACGGTGATATACGCACGAAGGAGACGCTTATAAAATTATAATACGTTTAAAATTACGACACAATTCAATATTATTAAGTTCGGATGTTGTCAGATATGTGTCGTGCACTGAAGTTATAAATAAGCGTAGATGATTCCTAGAAATTATTTAATTAATATATTTCTTCTGAATGAAGTAATCAATGATACGTAGATACTATAAAATATTTTACATTGATCTAAAACTGTCTAAATATATATATTTATTTGAACGTTTCAAAAAAACTTTTAAAACCTATATTAATATCATTATATGTTTATACTGTGTGTTAAATATGAAAGTAAAGCATTGTGCCATCCTTTTATGGCTGAACCCTTCACATAAAAACTATTCGTCAATTTTAATTTGTATAACTCCGTATTTAAAAGTAATTATACATTCTATATAAAGTTAGGTAACTGCCAAATAGGAGTCGATGTCTTATCCTAGTCCTTAAGAAGTTAGCAATTAATTCTAAACAATTTCATGGTTCAAAATTTCATATTCCTAGGAGATTAGATCAACTAATAAAATAGTAATAAGAAGTCTAATGCATGATATCACTTTTGATTATTAATAGTTAGAGAAAATAGTGTCGTAGTTTCAGCATTTGAAGTGTTGACAAAACGTTTTCCGCTCTAACGGATCGTATATTTAAGGCGAATTAGAATTCGTTACTGTCTTAAAGTTCAAGTTGGATTTGAGTCTCGTTAAAAGTTTCCTATCAGTGACATCTTTGACAGCAGCATTCTTAATTGAGAGAATTCCAAATCAATTCCTGCTCTGTAAGCTCCGCTTATTCGACTGCTCGCTCGAAAACTGCCGTTTATTTTCACTGTTAACTTAATTCGTGATAATTTGTGTGATCTTCAGAGAAAAGATTCATTCAACTTAAGTAAATTCTACTTAATGAAATTAAGTCTAAATGATTCTAAATATTGTACGGCTGTTTTAAATTACATAAACTTTTAATTATCATCACTTAGTGATATAAAAAATAAAATTATATTACATAATATAATATTTACTTTCAAATAGAGAATTACCATATATATGAAATGAACATGATTTCTAAAAAATTTATGCCTATCAATAGGCAATTAAAGTTTTTCTATTCCAGTAAAAGATGTTAAATAAAACTAAAATGCTATCCTGCCAGAGTGTACCTTTGACATCTGATTCTTCATTTCAAGAAAGTACAAGAAACAATATTTAAATCAAATAAAAATCTCCCAGTAAAGATTTAATCCATTATTTTATTTTTAAGTCGAACAAATATATCGCAGAGCCATAATTATAACTTACTGTATTAGATTATTTATAAGTTATCAGTTTAGTTTCCTTAAAGAACAATTTCTAATATTAATAGTATACATTTATGCCGATTTAACGTTTGCTTTTTTTATTTCATGCATAATATAAAAATACCGAACGTCACGTATAATGTGCCAAAACTTGTAGTCTTGAAGAGTTGTATTACGCTGTGGCAATACTAATAAACCTAGGTTATTCTACATAAGTAGATTTGACTAAGGTCAATTGAAATAAAAGCGTTAAAGTATGCGTCTAATGAGAATGTATCTGTTCACATAGATATTCAAAATTACATTGTGTGTTAGAACTGTCACTTTAAAGGTAATTAAATATTAGTAAATCATGAAAATGCACACATTTCTTCGAATAGCTAAAATCGTGTTTGTTATTTCAAATTGTTAATTATAATTAATTATGATAAATAAATTCAATTTTAATCAGTTTAAGTTTAAGGCTGCATTCAGCCTAGGCACAATCACTAAAATGAATTCAGGCTAGAATTGCTGTGATACACGATTTGGCTATAAAATTTTAATGTCTTCGACGATCACCACGAATAACAATTATGGGAATTGTTTTAATTTGATTGTATTTACAATGACATATAAAAATTAGGCGGCAAATTCGAATTAAGAACGTTCGGAGTTTTCAACACAACAAACGCATTTTTGTTTCTAATTGTTTTTTTTTTATAAATTAATAAGATAAACACTCGAGTTCAATTAAATATCGATACTTGTATTATTTACATTTACATATATAATAATCTGGATAGAGATTTTATTGAAAAGTATTTTGAATTGTGAAAATCAGTTTAAAACTATTTAAAATAATCAAATAATAAATCTAGTAAACTAGTGAGTTAATATAAGAGATGTTATGAGTATAATAAAATAAATTAACTGTAAATTATGAAGTTTTTTTTATTTAACCAATACTGGGCAGTCTCAACTGCCGGCGCCCGTAAGGGAAAGTACTGTGGCGCCCCTGTAACTAAAACATTGGTTGGCTCCCTCGGAATTTGACTCCCGAGTGCCCTCTCCCTTTTAAATCAATCTAAAAGAAATCTATACTACTATATTAAAGCGTAAACACACACTTCTTTGTTGCCTAAGATGTAGCAATTATAGCATATTTTTGAATAGTTCCTTTTTTAATAAAAAGCCCTACACTTACGTCACGCTTTAGGCTATATATTTACACGCCATTAAACTTAGGCGGTAAATATTTTGGATAAGAACCCTAATTTGGGAAAGAGATCATAAGTTGTTGCCAACATCAAGAAACAAGATTGCCATAGTAAATGATATTTTGATATTTGCAATTGAGAATTTGATAAATGTAAACAATAAAATAAAGTTTTTACAGTTGCATGCGGATGAAACCGCACGGGAACAGCTAAAATAATAAAAAAACACATTTTAAACAGCATATATTTCCCCAAGTAATATTTCTCAAAGTAGACTAGAAAAATATTTTTTATACTATAAAATTCCAATAAATCTATATCACAATTCATAAATGTAAATCTAATCACAAAGTAATTTTTTTCTTATTAACTAATACAAGTAACCTTATTGTCATATATCATTTTTAAGTACCCTTATTGTATTAAACAAGGTATTGCTTTTTCAATTCATTTTCAATATACTTTTTCAAACCTGGCTTATCATGTAAAGTGTAAAATTGACTAAGCTGAGAATACTTCAAACCTACAACTTTCATTCCCAATATCTGTAGATGTTTGACTCTCATCATTTGAGGTCCAATAAGAGTTTTGCAATCAGAACAATAATGATCTGGTAGGAATATTAAAACTGCTGTGAGTTTGTTCTTTATGCATTTCGATTTCCAGTTGGCAATATTTCCAAAATCATTTAAATGTATCAGAACATCTATTAAATATGTCCGATCAGAACAAAAATTAGGTAGCAAAACACCAGTAGATATTTTCATTGATTCATCAACAATAGACAAAATGGTGTCATTTATTTTTTCTAGAATTCTCTGAACTCTATTATCTTGTTCAACAGGTTTAAGCCAATGATCTTTTGGTAGTAGAGGTCCAGGATAGTCTTTAGCCTCCAAAGACAAAGCAGTGTCTATTAAATGAAGTCTGTTCAATATATCTTGGTTATTTATTTTTGTCAAATATTCAGAACTAAACATTCTGTTGACTAATTGGAATGGATATTTACCAATATAAATGAAAGTGAGAGCAATATTTGATAAATCATCAACATTCATTTTGTCAAATTTCTCAAGTAGGTTTTTTTCAATAGTAGTCCAAAAATCTTTACAGTCAGGTTGAAAGCTCAAATAACCATATGGACAGATAAAGCATTTCAGAAAGCTTGCAGGTATGTTATTTATATTATTTATTAAGTACTTCCCACATACATTTAATATTTCTTCATTACGAATTTTGAATTGCATGCAATAGTTTAAAATAGCAACAATTAGTACATGAGAGTTAATTTTGCTCTCTTTATGTTTCATGTATTTTTCAACAGCTTTTTCAACTTGATCATCAGTATAGTTTAGTTGAGTAAGTTTTGTAATGATATCCAATAAAGTATCTTCATCCAAAACATGAATGTTTCTGCTGACCCAACTTCCGACTATTGCAAAAGACTGCACTGAGAAAAATTTAACTTGAAGAAATATATCCAAAATATCTTGCATAGAAGATACCTTTATTTTAAACCAAAACTCGGACAGTTTCTGTTCCAGCAATGCAATTAATGTTCTTTTACTTGATTTCAACCCCGGTAATATTTTAAATAACAATTCAATATTGTTTTCATCTATTTGGTCCTCCTTTTCTACAAATCCAACCCACATTTTATCTATTGTTTCTGAATATTTAGGATCTACATTGTTATTTATTAAATATCTTGTGAAATTGCATATTTGGTCCAGTGTTAGTTTGTTGTCAATAACTCTGTCAAGTACTTCATCACAAAATTTATGTTTATAGGGGTGTAATAATAAAGAATCAGTTTTCAAAATGTTAAGTATAGTATTTGTGTCTTCAGTTTGAATTACGATTCTCAATAATTTTTCCAGGATTGCACCTTTTGCATCGCTGATGTGGTCTATCTTGAGATCCTCTGCCATCGGAGTAGTAGTCTTTTCGAGATCATAAATTCGTTCTATTGCAGCTAATGCTATGTTTGGAGTGATTTTTGTGCACTTTGTTATTAAGGAAAACACATCACGTAAATCAGCACATTGCTTAAACTCAGCCTGAATTAAATGGTAGTTAAGAGAATCGGACGTAGGTTGTTTTGGCTCTAATTTAGGGATATTTTGGAAATCACCGATATCTTTAAGTTTTCTTATAACTATTGGCAGTTCTTGGACATTGTAACCATTTTCTATTAGAATAGTGGTGTTAGTAAAATCATGATTGTTCATCTTGTCGTCGCTAAAACTGCGATTACCGATGATTAAACCACTATTAGAACAATTGGAGTTACCGCAAATCTGTACATTTTTTCTGAACTTAATATAAGACCGACGGAAAACTAAAGACATTGTTATTCAAATAAAATGCAAAATAACATAAGTAAATTAATTCACATTGAAATAATTTAGCAATATGTTTGTCGTCGTTTTTCGCAATAATAACAAAAACAAAATGTCACTGCCTTTGTCAATTGTCAATGTCATTACAAATACAACAAAGAGCGCGTATGTTAATTAAAAGTTTTAAAAATCAAACTGTTGAATTAGAAAGAAAGACATGCTGTTAAAAATTGTTTAAATTAGTTAGCTAACTTTTATAACACATACACCATATCTTAATTTTTCTTCACAGGTTTATTAATGAAATTCTTCGGAAAACCAAATCTAAGTTATACGGTTTGCTCTTTGGAATTGATAGATTATGATTGTCATTGTCACATATCATGTTATTTTAAAAATGTCACTTGTCATTGAATTTCGTCCCGTGATCGAGCGTGATGGTCATGATCATTGATCAATCATCTTTTGTATAACTTGTAACACGGTTTGTGGCCGTGATGATTTTATTTAATAGCACTTTTCAATGTAGCTTCCAATTTTATACCAGCAAGAGGACATTTTCTTGATTTGGTCCAGTTTGACTCTGTAGTCGATTCAAAACTATTAGCCGTATTGTAAATTCCAATAGGGAAAAACTTATATTTTGTTTATAAAAAATACTAAAACAAAACAAAGCCACCTTTTTGTAGCAGTCAAGTGTTGTGATAAGTTGGGACCAAAAAGGCATATAGTAATCAAATGTAAGTATCAACACTTTTATAATTTTATCAAAATAGATGTTTTCATAACTTAAAAATATTATTAAACAGTTCATAGGAATAGTGCAAATTTTTTTAATAAAGTCTATACTTGTCTATTTATTATCTAATTGAGCAACATTTTATTTAATTAACTAATGAAATAGATTGTACTTTTTTGTTGTTTACTATTTAACCACAAAGCATTTAATACTATGATAAAAAAAATCAAGGTTAAAGTATTTTTCTGTTTGCAATAGCTTAAGATAAAAACATACATTTTGAACAGATTACCTATCTTTTTCCATGCAGTGCAATAATCTAATATTTATCAAGATAAGATAAAAGAAAAATAATAAATGTAGTAGACACATTTGGCCTGAACATTTATTAAAATGTATATACAATTATTACAAAAGACTAGTAATGTATATTTAATAATACCTATTACAAATATAATGTAAATAAAATTGAAGAATGTGAGCCAGGATAAGCCAGCAAAGAGTAACTGTGAAGATTTGCATCTCTAGAAATATCCATAAAAGGAGTGATGATAAACAAAATAATGTCGCATATTTAAGCCAATAGCCTAAGTATTATTTGTTTGGGCTGTCATCTAATGATTGTAGGTTCAAATCCTAGCATTTTACTATTTTGAACCATAACCTAGCTTTTTAATCTAGATGAGATTAAAATAAATGTTAGTAAATCAACAAAGGTTTCTAGTTAAAAGAAAGTTTTCTTTTCTGATATTGTTAAAATTACATATGTTTGTATTATATATTATTTATTTCAGATGACTTTAAAATTAAATTGGGGCATCGCCGGTGTTGGCATGATCAGCCATGACTTTTTAACAGCCATGTCAAATCTGTCATGCGATCAACACAAGGTTGTTGCTATCGCTGGCAAAGATCTGAGCCGAGCACACAGACTTGCAATGCTACATAATATCAACACAGCATACGAAGGCTATGAAACACTAGCATATGACAGTTCTATTGGTAATTATCGTTAATAACTCCAACAATTGTTCCATTTGTAAACAGACCGCTTTATTAGCTTTGCAGATGTTGTCTTTATTGCTTCATTAAAATCTATATACTGCTGTTGCTTACTTTTATCAATGCTATTTTAAAATTTTTATTGTTTTCTTAAAATCTAATATAACTTTATTGTATGGGAGTTTGAGCTATGTTTTGCTGCACATAGTCCAAGGCTGACCTAGCAATATCCATTAAACATCTGGCTAATAAACAATCATTATATAAAAAAAGATTAGATATTAAGTAGTTGTTATAAGGATATGTACAAAAATTAAAAGATATATTACAGCAACAAATCCAAAAAGAATCATATTTTCGCCTAACTACACTGAACTGTCTGCCTACACTAAAGACATTTAAGAAATATGTAAACTAGACATAGGGAAAAATTTTTCACTGGTAACTTCTTTGTATGGTAACATCTCAATATCAAATTTGACATGCTGAAACACTTCTCAGTGTTTAAATTATTTTTGTTTGTGATTTTGACTATTGAACACCAGTTAATGAGATTATGTGAAAAATGTTACAAGTAAAATGTCAACTATGCTTCCTCTATATGTTTCTTGAATCTCTTTGGGCTACACTTCTGGGCTATGAGTATGAATACTCAATTATATTATGAAATCCTTAATGAAAGTTTCATACATTTCACACAAGCTGAATGAAATTTTTGCCCTTTAAATACATGATTATGTTACAGAGCTATAAATAATTGAAGAGAGAAGGTCATGATAATAAATATGCTCATATATCAAGTGAAATTGATTGCAGTGCTCTTTATCTTTGATGACCTTTACGGACTTTCTTACAATTCCAGTTTATAATAATTATTAAATCACTTTTAAACATGTGTCCCAGTTTAACATTTTCATTGTTTTTTTAATAAATTGTAGTGCACATTCAAACACATCAGTAAAAATGTAACAAAGTGTAACAATCACAAGAAATAAATATTACAAACACTAAACTTTATTTACAGACATCGTTTTCGTCAGCTTGATGAATTTACAGCATTATGACGTAGCTAAGTTAATGTTAGAGAATGGTAAACATGTGCTCTGCGAAAAGCCAATGGGCATGACGTACAAACAGACAAAGTCATTGGTGGACCTGGCAAGGGAAAAGAAATTATTTCTTCTCGAAGGGATGTGGTCGAGGTTCTTTCCTGCTTACGATGCTTTGGATAAACACATTGCCAGCGGCGGGCTTGGGGATGTCTATCATGTAAACGTACAATTCGGGGTCGAGATTAACGACATTGAGAGAAATTTGTAAGATATTTTCATACGCTTCTATTCATAACATGTTAAATTATTATTAGAGCTGTAAATTTTAAAGTAAGCGTTTTCCTGTTCACAAAGAGTAATATTTTCTGTTACGAACTTATATATCCTAGTGAGTTAGTACAACACTATAATTGAAATGTAAAACAGAACTCGTATGATCTTCTGAGTAAATATAATCTATTTTTACTTTCGCAATCGCATTACACAGACACAGCTCTTTTAATAACATCACTGCGCTTTAGTCTTGGGTATTACACGTACGATGTACTAAAAAGTACTCGGCACTGTAGTAAAAGTAACGTTCTGTTAATCGGATATTTGGCACTTTTAGTACACTACACGATATCAATGTTTGACCCTGCTTAAAATTTGATGTGATATATAGCCCTCGTTATATTCTATTCGTGTTATTATGTTCTCACAAATCTGAAGTACTAAAGGCACTAAAAGTGTGTACTAGTACGTTTTTCCAATTGTACTAGTACGGTGCGCACTTGCAGATGTCCGATTAAGCACAAGACTACTGCGCATGATTATTCACGTATTGGCGTTTTTCTTTAAAAAGCGGAATATTCCAGAATGAAAGACTTGGGCGGCGGCGCGGTGATGGATTTAGGTTTATACATGTTGCAACTGGTGCAGTTTGTGTACAAAGAGCCGCCCACCGACATTATGTGCACGGGCCACTTGAGCAAGGCCGGCGTCGACGAGTCGCTCTCCTGCGCCCTTAAGTACAAGGGAGGCAGGACGGCGACGATATCGGCGCATACCCGCGCCAACATGACTAATAGAGCCGAGATCACGGGGACTAAGGGTACTATTGCGGTTAGTACCCTATACTCTTGCTTGTCAGACCAACTGCTCTCCTGATACTTCGATATGTTAGACCCGTTTTGGTAACTTTTTAAAATGGAAACTCAAAACAAATTGTTGGTATCGAAAAGGGTCTATATATTGTGTGCTTCTCTTCTACGCTACGCAAAATATATAAGCATGTAACTGTAGACTATTTCAATAGAAACATCATATTTTCTTGGTTTAGTCTTCTCTTGGTGTTTTTGCGTAACTACTAACAGCAACTTGGTGCATATTAGTTTTAACATTAAAATAACACAATACACTTCCTGATAACAAATACATTTTAATTTTCTATTTAGGATAGACAGTTTTGCAGTGAAAAATTAATATTTGAATACAGAAACACTCGGGAGTAATTTTTATTACATGAATTATATACGTTACAACTCGTAAATATCAATTAACCTTCATAAAATGAAGTATCTATTTCAAACTGTACAAATGCGTATTGTAATGTTTTTGTTCAAATGATAGTAACACTACTCAACTATAAATAACTAGCTTTCGTCCGCGACTCCATCCGCGCGGAATTAAAAAAAAACTTAGTAAGTGGCCTGTGTGTTCTTCCAGGTTCTTCTACATCTGTGCCAAATTTCATCGAGATTCGTTCAGCAGTTTACGCTACAAACTTAATAAACATCCATCCATCCATTCGCATTTATATTAGTGAAATGTAACCTGCCAACATTTTAGATTTTGGTATATTGAAACCTAAATAAAAACAAAAAACTGTCAAACGACCGTAAATCATTATTGTTATAGATTATCTTCTATTCCAGCTTGATTACTTCTGGTGTCCGACCACGCTACAGATATCGGCTGCCAACAACACGGAATGGACGCTACCCAAGGGAAAGTACAGTTATCACTTCCACAATAGCGCCGGCCTCGCCTACCAGATACAGGAGTGCTGGGATTGCTTGGCTAAAGGTGAGTTGACTTCTTATACCTAGTCTAGATCACCGCTAGCGACGCCCTTCGGTATTGCCTTAATCATTTTCTTAACTGAATTTTTTAATAAGCAGAATTTCCTATTCCAGTCTAAAAGTATGGTGTAATATTTAGTTGGCTTTTTTGGAGTCAATGCCCTTTCTCGAAATCCAGTTGAATTCGGAATTACCAATTTTTATCTAGATTTGATAAAATGTAAAAATATCTTTATCTTTAATATCTATACCAATATTATAAAGAGGAATGGTTTGTATTGTTATATGTATTGAAATAACTTAAAAACACTCGGCCGATTTCAATCGAAAAATCTAAATCGAAAATTCTTTCACCAATAAAAAGCTACGTATCAGTGAGCATCGTAGGCTATATTAAAAAAAAAACGGAGGAAGTCGCGAGCATCAGCGAGTTTTTAATAAGATACTGTTATAAATGTAATGATGAAATAAATACTTGATATATAAAGAGATTTATAATTTCAGGTTTACTGGAAAGTCCTAAAATGTCGTTGGACGAGAGCATATTATTTTCAAAGTTAACGGACACGATGCGGGCACAATTAGGAGTACTAGATGTAGGTCTATAACTAACGGTGAATCTCCATTGTAACACCTGTATTAAATATTGCCATCCCTCTTACTCCTCATGGGGAAAAGAGATAGCGATATATCTAATAAGGGTCACGATATTTGAAATTCACAAGAACACATTGCCAGTACTAGTATTAATTCACGCAGTAGCTTAGAGGCTTCTATCAACGACACGCAACAAAGCTAACGAGTTTTTATAATGTACATACAAGTATTTACCTCAACTAACTGTGATTTATATAGTGTTGTGACATAGTTAAGTATGTTATTCGATATTTACACGCAGTATTTATTGTATTCACATTTTCTGTTTAATAAACACTTACAAAATAGTTGTTTGATTATTTTAAGATAAGTGTGTTTAATAGGACTTCATATAACCGTACCGGTGCGTTCCACTGGAGATCCCGGGACCCTCAATTCGCACCTGAGGGCGGCCATCGAGGGGGTTTTTAGTGAGTAGAAATCTCACATAACCCTGTTTTTTACAAAAGACAGGGTATCTTTCGAAGATTTCCACCCCGTTACCAAAAAAAAAAAAAAAAAGGACTTCATATAATACACTTAATCTAGACTAAACTCGATGGTGCAGTCTAAAAAAAGTTCGATTGAAGATGAATTATCTCATAATAATACAAAACTACATATTTAAAGCTTTTTATTTTATTTTCACTCAAAATAAATGCAATAAAAATTAAACATCAAGAGTAAATTATATATTTTCCATAAATTAAGCAAAGTAACAGCAAATTAAGTGTTTTATACAGACTAGCCAATACAGTGCTTATAAGTTCAACCCAGAATTTCCAGTTCCGAAATTAAAACGATTATACAAGGACCCTAACAGTACAACTGACTTAGGAACAAAGGTAAAAATCATTGCCAGTGTACAAAATTGCAATGCAGATTCCATTATTTACCGTCTTAGTACCATAATAAAAATGCAGTTTTTAATTGATAAGAACTCGCTAAACTATGCGAGTATAAATTATTAATCATTACTGGCAACACATTCTTTTCCAAGGTTTTTTTGTAGATTATAAAATGGTCAAAGACTAAATGACCTGTCTACCGCAACTAATTCCGGAAGCTTGGGGTCGCGGGCTGAGGGATTACCATTAATTATTGGGAGTGTATTTATTTCTTGAAATCCTCGAGTACTTTCTGTATGATGCTGGCGCCCTCTCGGATCTGTTGCTCTGTGATGAGCAGCGGCGGCGCGAGGCGGATGGTCTGTCCGTGCGTCGGCTTCGTGATCAGGCCCGCGTCGCGCAGCCGCTTGCACACCTCGTACGCTGGGATACCTGACACAATATTTCAGTTTTTGACATCCCTTTCATTCTCTATGAGGATAATTGAGATAACACACCATATATTTAGAGCCTATTGTATAAATTGCAAATATAATGTCTAAAGCATATGCTTTGAAATCGAGCCTTAGAGTTCGGCGACGGCCCGGGACGCCTGACGAGAAGCGGTACCACAGAAGTGCGAAAGTCCTCGTATTACATACTTAACTTCCCCTTTCACTGTCAAACAGAAGAGGTTGCAGTTTAAAATCGCCCAAGGTGTTAGTAGAACTAGAACCTTTAACAAAATATAAGAAAAAATGTTTGATAGCACTTACTGTCATCGATGACGATAGCGAACATGAGCCCGCGGCCGCGCACCACGTTCACCTTCGACTTGGGGATCTTCTCCAGCTCGGCGCGGAACACCGCCTCCAGCCGCGCCGCGTTCTCTATCAATTTCTCTTCTAATAAAACCTGCAAACCCATCAACAGTTGAAAGTTGAAGAGAATTCGTATAGAATTCTGATTGTGAAATACTCACCTTAATAGCTTCCGTAGCAACAGCGCACGCGAGGGGATTACCACCGTAAGTGGACCCGTGCGTTCCAGGTTTGATTACCTAAAAATAGTCAATTAAGATCCATTAGTTTTTACTGCAAAGGAAAATACTTCAATTTTATTAAATTTTTAAAGCAATTGTTTGCTTTAAAAATTTAAGTGTATATGAAACAATCGCAGTCGCATGGAATTATTAAATGAAATAGTAACTAACATCCATGACGTTGTTGTTGGCGAGAACGGCGGAGACTGGCAGCACGCCACCGCTCAGCGCCTTGCCCAGAATCAGGATGTCTGGCTTCACGCCCTCATGTTCCACAGCTAATAACTTGCCAGTACGACCTGGGAAATTTAAACAATATAACTTAATATAATTTAAAAATGTCTATATGATACTCAGAAGAATGCAAATTGAATGAGACCTCACTCATCAAGATCTGCATAGTTGTTTAAGTTACAGACCATCACAACGGAATTTACTTACATACAGTTAACAAGCAAATCAGTACTGCGCTAGACGATTAGCGCAACACTAGATTATTGGCATATACGTCACGTCCCTATCTGACAGCTGTCAATGTCATTCAGACGTACTGGAATAGCGCGCCATTCTGGCGAGATCAGTAGCTCTGAGTGTTTAAGTTAAATAGGCTAGTTACCCGAACAAGTTGCTGGCATGAAAACTTTCGATGGTAATATTACAAAAAAAAACATAGAAGTACTTTTTACCTAATCCCGTTTGCACCTCGTCAGCGATCCACAGTACGTTGTACTTGGTGCAAAGCGCCCGCACTTTCTGCAGGTATCCATCGTCCGGGATGACGACGCCCGCCTCGCCCTGGATCGGTTCCACCATGAACGCGGCCACGTTAGGGTCTTGTAGCGCTTTCTGAAAATCATAATCACAGTTTTTAAGCGAATCAGTGAAAATTTAAAAACGTTATTTTGTCATGAAGTCACTACAGTTCAGATTTTGACAAAAAAAAATACTAAGTTACTCAAATACTACTACAAAATAATATTTTTAAACCCGTATATTCCAATTAAAAATTTAGTTTAATAATACGAATAGGGTCCTGAAATCTTGTAGTATACGCACCTCTAAGGCAGAGATATCATTATAAGGTATGAGTTCAAAGCACGGCATGTATGGACCGAAACCGTCGGAGCAGGTCGGGTCTGAGGACGAAGAAACTGCCGCCAGCGTGCGGCCCCAGAAATTGCCTTCCGCGAATATTATCTGAAAAAAAAAGTAAAAACCTAATAAAGATACTAATTTGATTAAAATGTAAATGAAATTGGTTTATTTTACAATTTCTACTATGCTATTCAAAGCATCTCTCCCTGCCATCCTTTACAAAAAAATCTTTAATTCTCATGAATATCAAAATTCAAATTACCTTAGCTTGGTTTTCCGGTATCTTCTTAACCTCATATCCCCACTTGCGTGCGATCTTGCAAGCGCTCTCGCCGCCCTCCACGCCCGTGTTCATAGGCAGCAACCGATCGTACCCAAGCAGATCCGTCATGAACTTCTCATACTTACCCAGCTGGTCTGAGTAGAATGCTCTGGAAGTTTTAAAACAGAATATTTCCGACAACTCTTAGAGTCTTCAAATCTCCGCTAAAGGAGAATCCTTCTAATTCAAAGTTCAGAGTTTTTAGATTTGAATTTGAAACCTAAATTATAAAATTGCTTAAATGATATTAAACTATTCTGGCAAACAGTAAGCGAATGGTCGCCTTTGTAAAAATTGCTGTATCATCTCTTTGAATCTCTAAATGTGCGATATCTCATCATCATCATCATCCACTTGCCCTTATCCCTTACGGAGGGTCGGCACAGTATGTGCTGCTCTTCCATACATCTCTATCAGTCGTCATATCTGAATCCACTGCTTTCTTAAGCATATCCTCTTTCACAAAATCCATCCATACTTTCTTCGGTCTTCCTCTTCCTTTGTAGCCATCCACATTCAATCTTAACACTTTCTGGTTTATGTCCCCATCATAATATATATATCGATATCTCAAATAGAGAAAATGACTATAATGGCAAAGGAGTAGATGAAATCTACATCTAATGTTTTACGCCTGTATTACCGAGCATATTGGCTTTATATTTTACAGCCAAAACAAACATAGACATAATAGTTTAAATACAATATCACGATCACACATGACTTACATCTTATTTTGCGGTTTTAGCGCTATATTTACCCATATCGTAATTCAATTTACATGTTCTTGTTTATCAAAAACGTGAACAACTTAACGACGGATATAGAGACACACCCACTGAACACGATTACATTCAAAATAAGCATGACCTTCAAACTTTATATAAAGAAATTATGATCATTTTAAAAATACTTCTATCGGCCTAGTGGCGCATTTAGAGTTAAGTGGTCCGTCTTCCAAGAAGAAGAGAAGTATATGATCTCTACATTAAGGTACTACGATATGGTAGTAATATTATGGTTCTTATAATAGTTGAAACTAATTTTCCGGTTTTAATCAAAAACTGTATTTTACTAACCTGGAAACAAGGGTAAGTTTACTGGCTTGTTCATTCAAGGCTTTGATAATCCTGGGATGACAGTGGCCCTGGTTGACTGCGGAGTAAGCACTCAGGAAATCATAGTACCGCCTACCTTCCACGTCCCATACAAATACACCTGGACACACGGAATAGTAATATTGACATTTTTAATATGAGGTTATATGGATAGATGGATGTTTCTTTAAGTTTGTAGCCTTAACGGCCGAACGGATCTCGATGAGGCATAGATGTAGTGGATAGTCTGGAAGAACACATAGGCTACTTACTTTACTTTTAATTCCACGCAGGCGAAAGCTAGTATATACTCGTAGTAAATAAATTACAAACTTGAATTTAATTCTATGCAAAACAGTTCAATGTGATTTTATATTTTTATTCGCATAGTTTAGTGATAGAACGATGTTTGTAGGATTGTTATTGCAAATAATAATTTTATCTTTTTTCTTAATATAAGAATTCTATTTATAAATAGAGTTATCATAAATGATGTAACAACACTGACGATAAAATAATTCAACCCTATATCTCAGAGGTCAGATTATCTGACTCTAATGACGCGGGCTTGAAATTCTTTTCCGAGCGATAATTGAACTTTTTAGGTCAGTGTCCAGTAAACGGCAAATGGAGTTATATGTTAATAGAAGAGGAATTATAAGTATACCTATACCCATGCCAGGCACCAAGGGTAGGGCAGCATGTTGGTTAACAATCTATTTAGAATAACAAAATAATCTTTACTACTAGGCCCCTCTACCACCTTGTCACCACTTACTCTTCCCTTTGATCCGCGTCTGCAAACGCCCTTGCCCATATCATCCTAACTAATTAATAATTGAAGGTAAAATTTACTTTTAGTCTTTAAAACAGCTTTTTTCCTTTTTAAATTAAATCGGATTCTTGTAGCAATATCTCTCAATAAACTCTTATCAAAGTGAACTGCATTATAGCGTAATAAAATCAGCTAAACAATATAAATATAATCACTGACAAAGGTTGAATGTCAGTGCATTAAAGATATAAATAATTGAACATTGTTTTATTTTTACATACAATCAAGATAAGTATAAACACCCACAAGGAGATTATTATAAAATTCCGTTAAAATGGAATCAAAAACATTAACGCATGATGAAATATGTAATTCGAGACAGACGAAAGATACACATTGATAAGAACAATTAATGCCTTTAAATTGAACCGCTACGATAACTCGACTGATGGCAATGATTAACAAAAATTTCGTTTACCTACTGTCGAACTAAACGTAATTAATTGGCCGTGAGCCTCACCAGGGGGCAGTGCCGGATTAAGCCCCTGCCCCCTAGAGAATCGAAAATTGAAATATAGATAAAAAGTCCATATTAAGAGTAGCTGCTAACATAGAACATCAGCTGGAGAAATCAGCCCAGATCTGTAATTTAAATACGAGTATTTTTTGAACTCACCTTCGCCACGAGTCAAGGCAACTTGTAGAGGCGCGTAATTACGACAACCATACTTGTCTTCCAAGGCGAAGATATCCTCCGACGAAAGCTTTTGATGAGCCATGACCTAAACACAAAAACATAACATTTAAAACTGCAAAAAAAAAAACAAGTCTGCTGCTTCTTAATTTACTAAAAAGATTAACAAAATTAAATAGTTCTATAGAAAAAAAATCTAATGTTCTTAAGAGAAAGTTAGTAGTCTCTTAGTTAGAAAAAAAATCTTAAAGAAAGGAAAGTATCTGTTAGCTAGACCCAAAAATAAATATTTAGTTAGCAGCATATTTGTCTTCAACAGTTCGTAAAACAAAACACATTATATCAAGGTGACCGTTAATTTAAAAAAAAATTGATAAATTAGAGAGCGACTAAAAGGCGGAAATTTGAACCTGTTTACGATACCCAGTAATTCAAAAATAAAACTTACTTGCGCCGTATTCAGAAAAATATATGAAATGCAATGAAATAAAATCGTACAGAATCTTATATAGCAACCTTCGCTGATAAGGCAGATGCAAGTAAATATTATATTTAAGATTTATACACCCGTGCTTTACTATTTATTGTACGTTCCGCGAAGGCTCAAGCATACAAACATATTTCATAATCAACGTCCAAGAAGCACGCGTAGTTTATCAAAGTCAATGTTTATTTACATAGCATATTAACCGGTATACGGTTATCAAATTAAAAAAAAAAGTTACACAGTAAGCCTCTCTATGTTACTGTGTAATAAATAATGTAGACAATATTCAATAAATATTATAAGAAGAAATAAACACTCTAACCTTTAACTTAATTGTTTGATAATATATCTATTTTCAAACTGTTTTGTGCGTGATCGCGTCTAAAATTATCCAGCGATGGCGTTGACCGTCTAGCACGAGACAATATAAATGACTGGCGACGGAAAAAAACACGCACCAAGCAAGCACCAACTCCCTATATTTATAATTACGTCACGCAATCTCCGAGACCCTTATTAACATCATTCTATGCGGCTCTCAAATAACAAGATCGACCGGAATTTCCCCAACTGCCTAATAGAAAGATTTATATGACGCAATGTTAAAAAATTAACAATTCGAGTCCCAGACATACATTTACGATTGTCTCTTAAAACAATATTTAACAACCGTCTGGTATTTCATGAATTCCGTGAAAATGATTACAAAACATGTAACGTTTTGTAATCATTTGTTCAGACGTTAGATCTTTTAATACCAGGAATCTTAGAATTATCAATTCTTAATTCATTGTCTGCATAAACATTTTAAAATACATTATTGTAAATGTTATTTTTCAGCAGCGTCAATAGCGTGTTTGAAATGTTGAAATTACCGTGCCTCGTATCTAGAACTTTAATCAACATCAGAACACACGCCTGTAACCTAGAGGGGTAGGCAGAGACCATACACTTTCAATTGGGTTTAATATTCAATATTTTGTCCTTTCTAACTATCAAAAGAAACCTTATCAAGTGTATTTATATACTTGTACTAATCTTTATGAATGTTGGAAAGTATTTGAAAAAGTAATAATGCGACACTTCGGACTGCCATTACAAAATTAAGATTTTTAACATTTGTGAGTACTATATGAATATTCATATTTACTATATAGTAATAAGGTTTGTTTGGTGGCAGCACTTAGGGTATTGATATGGGAAATTAGTTGTTAATGTGAAAAAGTATTATTTCAAGTTTTTACTTTAACAAAACTAGTGGAAAATGTTAATAACACAAAATAATAACAATTTGTACAGTATTTATTCATTATAACAAAATAACTACTTTTAAAATATTAAACTAAGATTCTAATATAAACATATTAACCTACACATGTTTTTAAATTCATTTTTTCCTATGTTCATTGTCAGGGTCTCCCCCATAGTACTCTGTATATGTAGGAAATGTTTGTGCACCCCTTTCTGGCGGTGATGGCAAGGAACCTCCATCCAATAACCTTTTAGCTTCTATTTTAGCTGCATTCTCTTGTTTCAGCTTGGCTATAGCCAAATTATATTCAATTTCTTCTTCTGTTGGGGGATCTTGTCTGAAAAAGTATGAAACATATTGTATGAAAATTAACTATTCTATTTTTATACATTTCTTATCGTGAAACCATTAAGGGTAATAAATTGATAGCAAGCTAGTGTAAATTTAATTATGATGATATTTTTTGCTTATTTTTAAAAGTTAAGACTGTTTTGATTATTTTTAAAAGAACCTAGAAGATATTACCTTCTCATTCTTAACCATGATTCCCATTCTGCTGGGATGGGATTTTGAAAATCATTTCCCTTTGGTGGATCATACCAACGGGAAGGCTTTCTTTTACCCCTGCTGGGGTCTGCGGGTATTTCATAATAAATGTTTCCAGCATAATCTTTACCTGTAATGACATAACAAAGATGTTGTTTTGAGTAGTCTTTGTTTGCAGTATAAATTATTATTGATTGAAGTCTACTTGCCCATATGATTCCCTCGTATTTGGCGTGGTTTCAAGGAATTTACGAAATTTTGAAAGATTATTCGCAACAGATGTCGATGCTGACCGTTAGACATCTAAAACAAAATCTTTAATTAGAAAACTATGATAATAAAAAAACATATTATATTTATTGACAACTATTTTACATTTAATTTATCTACTTGGACAGAGATCAAGAGTCTCGGCCAATTTTCGTACAGATATAATGATTTTTTTGCAAATTAAACAAACAACTTTATTACAAATTCTTAACCCAAAAATAAATACAATGTCAACGTCAAATGAAAAATTATTTTGATTTTATAATGACATTGACACTGGTAAAACTATAGAGTTGCTTGAAAGTGGAAATGCAATTGCATTAGCTTGGCGATTTTGTCATCGTTAAATAAATAATTTGCAATGATAGCAATTGTTCTTCGACTATCAATTGCCAGATTACCACATAGGTATTAGGTACATATAATAAACACTACAGTTCGCACGGCAACCGTTTTATTTCTTTAGGAACATATAAAATTATGCAAAACACTTTCAAATAAAAAATCGGTATTTTCCATTGTACTTGCACAACACTATTGCCATAAAGCCAGGAGTGAATGACTAAACTGATCCGAATGAGTGACGCTTTATTTATGACAGCTTGACAGCATCACTTTTCGCTTGTTACTGCATCTCGAGAATTGTTTCTATATATATTTTGTACTAAAATAAAACTTTTAGTGCTATTTTTAATTAGTGCATTAATTTCCTGTGTTGTACAGTAAATTTTTAAAACTTCACAATGGCGAAAATGGCATTTCAGCACCAAGCCGGAACGGCTATGGAATGTCTTAGTGTAAGTTGTAAGACCACTCCCAAATGTTTTGTTTTTACATGTTTTTATAGTTTTAACCTTCTTTATATTAAATATTACATGCAATTATATTATCAGATACCAATAACGCTTCAAAAAGAAGCCGGTGTTGATGCAGAAGGCAGGGAAGTTATGAAATGTGGCTTCAAAATTGGCGGTGGAATTGATCAAGATTATCGCAAAAGCCCACAAGGATATACTGATAACGTAAGTACGAAGATTTTAATATACATATTACCTGAAAATTCTCTGTTACCTTTGTGATGAAAAAAAACAAAATATTTTGTTACCTTATTTTCATCACTAAATGACTATACATTTGTGGATTATAGTTAAACCTGTAATTTATTGTAGAAATTTTACTTTTCACAGTAAAGGTTTTGTATTGTACACAATACAAAATATGTGATTGTTTTGTTTAAACTGTATCTTCTATACCAAATATAAATATTACAACTTAAATTGAAAGTAAAAATTGCTTGTTTAGTAAACTTTTATGACATATTTAATATATACTTTTTAATGTGAATAATGTGTTTGCATTACCTTGGAAAGATTGAGTAAGTGAGAGCCACACTTAAGTAGCCACAGAGCCTCATACTCTGAAGCCAATTTTTGCTGACTACTGCTCTATAATATTGTAATTAAATATTTCAGGGTATCTATGTGACTGAAGTTCATGAAGGCAGTCCAGCAGCTAAATCTGGATTGCGGATGCATGACAAAATCCTGCAATGCAATGGATATGACTTCACCATGGTAACACACAAGAAGGCTGTCAGCTATATTAAAAAGCATCCAGTGTTAAACCTTCTTGTTGCTAGAAAAGGTGTAACATCCACATAACTGTTACACAGTTCTTGTAACACAAGTATATTTTTTCATTTTTGATCAACTGTTTTGAATGAAAGTATTTAAAAAATCAAATGATTTTATAATGTTATTTATTTTTAGAGTATTTTAGCTTTAGGTTTATTAATTTATTAAGTAACTTGATTCATTTTGTTACAATTATTCTTAATACTTTGGGGTTATCATCTTCAATATATTAATTTCTAGTTCCAAATCTATTAAAGCATCATAATGAATTTTAATGCTCAATTTGTAACACTGGTATTATTAAATTTTACACTGTTTTTAACCCCAATGGACAAAGAACTAAGATGAAGAGAAAAACATTATATATATGCCAATAAATGGATTTATAAGAATAGTTACCAGTGTTAATACTATTAGTTGAGCATAGAAGGTTTTTGATGACTTCCACTATCAACAGTGTCAGCTACTTTTACAGTGGTAGTGCCTGCTTTAACATCTTAGCACGAATGGGCCAGCAAGCCCAGTGTAATACCACAACCACACAGAAGACAGGTGTGAAGTGGAAGTTATTCCGTGTTTCGTCTGCTAAGTGTGGTGCCGGAGGCCTAATTTAAGTCCCTTACTCCTTACCACCCTTTTCTCATAAGGAGAGAATGGGTAAGAGAAGTGGATTTGACAGTGGAGGAGATGCATAGGAAGGGGAAATATCCTCTTTATGTGCGTCTCCTCCTCCATCAGATAAGGGTAGGCAACGCATCTGCAATTGCGGATGTCTATGAGCAGCGGTCACTTCGCCATTTTGGCGGATTCGTGTGGCCGCTTGCTCATTTGCCACCTTATGTTATAAAAAAAAAACACTTGCTGTTAGTTAACTTGCAACATCCCAAGACCATCTGCAAACCTTCTGTGCACAATACAAATAATTTTAATCATAACTCATGTCATGAATATGAGTTAGATAGATATTTGATATTGTTAATTAAGTCACATTGTGTATTTTGTTATTAGTTGATTATATTGTTCGGTAATGTAAGGGTTCTTTCATGCAATGTTTTATAAGCTGTGTCATACATCCATAAGGTAAATTTTAAAAGCAAATTTTTATAACACTCTGCATTTTCTCTATCTGTATTTAAATTAATATGTTTATCAGAATATATAAGCTTAATAATTATCAGTCTTGATTATATTTTCCACAATTATTTACATACAATGGCTTTGTACATCTAAAAAAAATTAAAAGAGATAAGTGTATTTGTGCCAAATATATAAGAAAATGCTCAATTTGTTCTAATGCTTGCTTTTTTATCTGACCAGTAGTACAAGAGAACAGTCAAATTAAGCAATTAACATCAGTATATACAAATCAGTATGACTCACATAAGGCTGATTATATCACAAATGTTTTTATGTAATAGTTGTAAGCAGATTTTCTTTGTCACTTTAATTATAAATTTAGTACAAAATTTCCTTGGTTTCTATATAATTATTTGATACATAATATATTGTATAAAAACTGTTCCTGAATGCTTGATACTCATATATTACAGATTTTATAGCATTTTTGACATTTTAGAAAAGTTCTAGCCAAAGAAAAGAGTTTCATAGTCCATTAAATGATGCAAGTTAAGGCAGTCATGGGAAAGTTAAAAAATATTTTTGTAACAATGATCACTATGTTTTGCTTTAAAGCTTTTGCAAAGAATTTAAATGTGGAAATTACAAAATCAAATTGCAATTGGTAGATAACTTTAATTGGACTTGTTACAAGTAATCTCAATAATTACATGATATCTAAAAGAAAAAACTCTTGTTGAACATGTTTTAAAAGCATTTGGAATTGTATATTTTAATATCAATAAGTTGAAATGCATTTATTTTATAATAAAATCATCTACAAAATGATTTTCCAATGAATTTACTCGGAAATAAAAAATATGTGTAAATTATTCAAGTATTTTATTTTCATACATCAAATTACTAGCTTTTTTGCAAGATATTGGACAGTTACTAAGATTAAAGGCCTATTAATATAAAAAAAAAACCTAGTACAATTTTTTAGTTGACACAAGTTCAATATTTATTTTCATTACTAAGACATGAGAACTAAACAATTTACTATTAAAAAAAATTTGTTTTAAGCCTTAGCAGGAGGCCAGTCCCATTGGCCTTTAGGAGGCTTAGCTACAAGAGGTTCCCATGGCTTCCAGTTCAGCATTTTTCTTGCCAGGTTTAGCTCATTTTCAGCTTGTACAATAAGTTCCTCAGCTTGGCCACAGTTAATTTTACTTTCCAATTCATATGTATCCTTTGTCTGTAATATCATAAATAAATCAAATTGAGAACAGTCAAATTGCTTCTTAACTTATATCTATTTATAACAAGATTTTGCTTGTGACATTTTCTGGGTGGATTAAAAAAAAAGTAAGAGCCTATGTTACTCAGTGATAATGTAGCTTAATGGTATGAGAATCAAGATTGGTCTTTTACTGGTAGCCACAGTGAGAAAGAAATTGAGACGCAAAAGGTAAGCCTGTGAAAGATATTCATTTACCTGCTGTAACACTGCTGCTCTCTCACGGACAATCTGTTCAGTATATTTTCTGTAAGCTGCATTTTCTGGCATCTTTTTCAAGGTTCGCAAAATTTTTCCATAAAGTGCCCCAAGAGTATGATGAGGGTTGGGAGCAACTGCTAATCCCATAATACCTGTGGTCTAGATAGTAATGTGTCATTAGATATTTATGACTTTGAACATGTAAATTATCTATTTCCACAATCACTCTCTCGCTATAAATTGCTCTTTATTTTTGAACCGTTTCATGTTGCGCTAGTGTAGTGCCAGTATATTTTTTAATTTCATGCATGATAGCAAAATAATAAACTGGGTACAAAATCAAACAAAACCAAAACATAGTTATATAACAATCTGTATAAAAACATTTAAGCAACACATTTATTAGACAATTACCTTCTTTAAAACCCCCATAATTTTATGAGTAACTTAGATGCTAAATTAACGATTTTTTAAATAAATATTTCCCTGTTCTTGCACTACAACAATAACCTCAATGAAATGTCATCGAAAACGAAGACAAATCAAAAGTGTCAATGTCAACTCAATATGACAAAAATTTAAATTTTATTTTTTTTTCACACATGGAACAGGGGTCTACACGTCATGCCTGAACTTTCACTTAGTTTGTTGCGAAAAAATTACTGATTTATGTAAAATAGAGAATGTCATTATGTCTTTATAATAATGAAATGATACACTCCATTAAATTAATCAGTTTTTTTATCTATAGTTGTATGTAAGTTTTGTAGGATCTGTTGAGGTCGTGTTGAGGATCTGTCTTGTCTTGTCGCTGAACGGATCGCTGGATTGGTGATTGCTGGATCGCTGTCTTCTTTTTCTCAATAACGATTCTCTACTATCACTATCACCACAAGTTTGTCAAGACCCATTCAAGATCAAAACGCACATTGACGACAAAAAGATTCTAGATATGAAATATTGTAGGTATAGAAATCTCTTCCAAGACAGCTGATGAATATAAAATGAATTTGCGAGTTACCCTTTGAGTACAACACTTTGCTAAGGTAATTACGTGTATTGATAAATATGAGTATTAAAATCACGTCTCTCATCTGTTTGCCATATTTTTGCGACATGATATCGTTTTGATAATTCTTCGTGCGTGTTATCAGTAATAACAAACGGAAATATTCATAATACAATATTTAAAATGAAAAAAGATGAATTGTTTATAAGTTTTCCACTGAAATTCCTTGAACCCCGAGCTTTATGGTCTTCATATAAAAATTGAAAACTTAAAAGGTTACACAAATACTTCTGTAGGTATCGATATGTTATTTAATTAATTAATAAATAAGTGATTATGGGAGTATAGTGTGCCACTGAATGTCAAATTATTGGTTTTTAAAAGATAAACATATTGCTACAGATATACGATTTTAATTAAACTTATCATAGTGTTCACTAAAACTATTTGACTCCAAGACCCAAAGAGTATTTGACCTGTTATTATTAATTTTTAAGAAATTAAGATGTAATTTTTACTAAATAGTATGTTGTTTTTCATATTTGTTTTGTGATAAACTAGAGGGAAAAATAATGTACATATCTTTTTGAAGTTGAAAGCTTTACTAACATCTACAAATATATAATTTCAGATCCGCAACAATGGAGACATTAGCTCCTACCACACAAGATGACAGTTCAGGGGCAAATCCGAGCAGTGTCAAGAGTGATGACAGCAGCCCTCGGCATGAGAGTGGCCGGGGCTCCCCTCCCCCTAACTGTGCTATCTGCTTAGGAACATGTCGCAATAACTCATTCACTGATTCCTGTTTACACCAGTTCTGTTTTAAATGTTTATTAACATGGAGCAAAGTAAGTTGTTTTTTTTTTTAGAATTAACGACTTTGTAAGAACTAGTTAAAATTGTAAAATAAGCTTAGTACAAAGATGAAACTAAATCTAAATGGCTATTAGTAACTTCTTTTTTAAGTCTGAAACAAAACTACCAGTTTAAACTGACTAGTATTGTTTGTTGATCTGAGTTTATCTTCCTAGCTTTATTTTATTGTCTTATCAATTTTTGTTTAGACCAGTAATTATCACATAAACCAAGGATAACTGAAATATATGTATTTCAGTGTGCAGGGCATATAATTTTTAAACTATCTATAATGCATAGTCATGTGTAACTCAATTATGAAATCTTTTTTCAAGATTTGTTAAATTTAAATTTGAACATTACAGGTAAAGCCAGAGTGTCCTTTGTGCAAACAGACTTTTCGTTCTATAATACATAATGTGAGATCCAATCATCAATATGAAGAATACATGGTTGAACAGCGACAAACAGAGGAGGCCACAGAAAGGATAGATATAAACACACTGGCAACAACTCGCAGGTTTAGATACAGGTAGGCACACATAATAAACAAACATTTAAGTATACAATGTTAATGTAAGATGTGAATATTGAATAAAATGTTAGTATAGACTGACATTTATATGTCTGTATATATAAATCTCGCGATATGGAAATTTACAGCAAGTAAGAGGGATGGCAATATACAATATAACTGTCACAATACAGGATAGTTATGTATGTTAAAAACTCATTTATGAAATGAAAATTTGTTGTGCCAACCCTACATTAAGAAGGATGAGGAGAGACTGAGTAATACCTTTGTAATTTAATAAATGTTTCAGAGTTGAAGAAATGTGACATAATATTTTGTCAACCACTAGTTGTTTCTGTGTGATATTTGACGTAATTAGCGTTGTTGGCTCAGAGATTAAGCTACTTCTAATCAGTGGGTCCTGGGTTCGAATTCATGTAACAATCAGATTTTTCGAAATTAACAATTAGTCTTTGTGATGCAAGGTGTTTATATCGGATATTCAAAGATATTTGTGACATATATGTGTCAACCCACACTTGGCGCAATTGACTATAGCTTAGTAATTTCAAAGGGTAGGTGATGTTGATGTATACAGGTGGGTTTCTTAGGAGATCGCAGGATTCTCTCCAGTTGCACTCCAGCATGTTTTAGTGACTCATGTCTCACATAACCCTCCTTCTGCCAGAAGGCAGGGTGTCTTTTGAAGATTTCCCAATGATACCAAAAGAGAGATAATGTATGTGTGAAGGACGACGCTGACGCTGCCGCGGCGCGAGTCGCTGGCCATCCAGCAGCTGCTGCTGCACTACCCCATGATGGCGGACGTGCTGCCCGCGCCGCCGCCCGCCGCGCGCGCGCCGCGCCGCCGCTCGCCCGCCGCCTTCCGCCGCACCGTCTACCGGCACAACCTGTGGGCACGCCCGCTTCCCGACTTCACGGGACGCTTCAGGGACTGTTCGCCCTTGTTTTATAGGTAACTAGCTTTCGCCTGCGACTGCGTCTGCGTGGTATTATAAAAACAAAACCAATCTATGTGTTCTTCCAGACTATCCTCTACATCTATGCCAAATTTCATCGAAAGACATTCAGCAGTTTAGGCTACAAACTCTGACAAACATCCATCCATCCAAGTAAACTTTCAAATTTATAATATTAGTATGATATCTATATTATTCACACTGCCTCTCTCCTTGGAAATTATTGAAAACTAAATAGAATTGATGAATCAGTATACAATAGGAAAACATATCATATTCTTGTAAATCAAATTAGTATAAGAAAATTTAGGTTTATTTGTTTCTTAGGTATAATGACTCACAAGTGCATCGGCTAGTGCCATGGCTCACCCGAGAACTTCACTATTTATTAAATGAGAATGTGGGACACATATCGTACGTGATAACGAGGATCCTGGAGATCCTGCCGCAGTACCATATTAACTCTCCGGAGTTCAGGGAGACGATGCTGCGCTACTTCGGCGACAGGACGGACCACTTCCTGCACGAGCTGTACTGCTTCGCCTCCACGCCCTACGACATGACCGGCTACGACCACAACGTGCAGTACACCACCGA